GAACATCGCCACATTTATCACAGGCCCACTATCATTGCATTCCTAGACATACCTGCCGCTTTTGACTCCGTTGATCGACCTGCTTTATGGCGTTGCTTACTAAAGAACGGGGTGCCAGAGAAATATATCGCCATCTTACGAGCACTTTACCTTCACACATCCGGCAGAGTGAGGGTCTATGGCAAGCTTTCCTCGCAATTCGCTGTCAATAGCGGTGTGCGACAGGGCTGCCCTATGTCCCCATTCCTGTTCAACTTCGCAATCGAAGACATTCTGTCGAATGCCCTAGAAGGTTTCCAACATTTTGGCCTAGAGCTTCTACCGGGTGAGCGCGCGACCGACTTAGATTATGCTGATGATATCGCCTTACTTGGTGACGATCCTCAGGGTATGCAACTCATTCTGGATCGTTTGGCGGTCGAAGCATCTAAGTATGGCATGAGCTTCGCCCCATCGAAGTGTAAAGTACTGCTCAAGGATTGGCTTTCACCTGCACCCGTGCTCACTCTCCAAGGTGCACAACTTGAACAGGTAGATAGTTTCGTCTACCTTGGGAGCTGTGTTTCCGCTGACGGCACAATCAACAAAGAAGTTTCGCTTCGTATCGCTAAAGCTCGATCAGCATTTGTCACTCTGAGGCACTTGTGGCGTCGTCGCAACGTCTCATTCTCACTAAAGGGGCGAGTTTACAGCGCGTCCGTTCGCTCAGTATTGTTGTATGGGAGCGAGTCCTGGCCGATTCGCGTGGAAGACATGCGTCGTCTTTCTGCGTTCGATAACGGTTGCTTAAGGAGGATCGCTCGTGTTCGGTGGCAACATCGAGTTACCAGTAATGACGTTCGACGTCGCGTCTTGGGGAATGCAAGTATTTCCTTCAACAAACTGGTTTTGTTGCGCCAGTTAAGATGGCTCAGTCATGTCCTACGCATGGCACCTGAGCGTCTACCGCGTCGCGCTCTATTCGCTCGTCATGGACCTGGCTGGAAGCGACTGCGTGGTGGTCAGCCTTCCACTTGGCGGCAGCACATGAAATCGCTGACGTCGTGTCTAGCCGCTGTTGGACCCGTACGTCTTCCAGGATGGGGACCCAAAGATGGGGAGTGCCAATGGCTTAGGACACTTGAAGACATGGCCCGCAACCGGAATCAATGGAAGAATTGTGTACAGTGTTGTGTTGATTCACATGTTTAATTCTACAAAAATTGAAAATGACAAAAAGAGAGAAAAATCGGCGTGTGACAAACAAACTAAAAATGTTTTGTTCTGTATTTTTGTCAAAATATTCCATTTCCTTGCGGCATATTAGCTGAAGTGTGTTGCCCACCTTCAGCTAGCATGCCACGACGATTATGACGCAATGACTGTCTCTTATACACTGATTTCCATGGCTTTCTTGGCTCTATGTCTAGTTACTAGACTGTTGAGATTACATACATACATACCTCTTTTCGCCTCATCAGGAAGCAGGATGACTCCTCGAAAGTTCGCCCCATAAAGGTGGTTTGTCAAGGTGAATTCCACCGTATCCCCAGCGAACCTCAGGTTTGATAGGAGAAACATTCTATGTTTTCAGAGGCCTCTCCCCAGAAGCTCGAGTTAGAATGAAGCAGCCCTTTAGGAAACTACGAATCCGACGGACAGCTGGTGAAAGCGACCTTTACATTGGGGATTTTCGAGTAAGTAAAAGAATACCGAGGACTCGGTGGAGACCAATCTACGTTCTTCCGATGCATTGAGAATCAGGAGTGGATTACGTGTGATATCGGCGAATGTGCGTAGTTTGAGAAACCAAATGTATGAGGTTCTACTTATGACCTTTGAGCAAGAACCCGATCTGGTGGCTTTTACGGAGAATTAACTATCCTCGGATATTTCAGACTCGGAGATATTTATTCCAGGGTATCAACTATCCCGTGTGGATCTTCCAGGAGGGTGATCGGAGGGCGAGGTTGCTCTTTACTGAAAGTCAGATCTTAAAGTCCACACAGTGGAAGCCATGTGTGATCTCCATTTAGGATCGGAAATTCTTTGATGTAGGGTTCACGATGAGTTTTGGCGGCTCATGGCGTTATCTACAGATCCCCTTGGGGTCTGGATCTTATCTGCTAGAATCTATGAGGATACACGGGGAGACAACGATCGCTTGATAGTGGGTAACTTCAATGCTCCGGCCGTAGACTGGGATGCCCTTCATTGTAATTCCTCCAGATTCTTTTGAAACGTGTTTACTAGAAACAGTCCTCTAACGTAATCTAACGCAGCACGTTTTATCACCTATCTGTTTTTTTCCAGATTATGTGCCACACATCCTTGACCCTGTGCTCACACCTGGCTCATCAGATCTCTGCGCTGTAGCCATTCTTCAGTCTCTTGGCAAAAGCGATCACTGTGTAGTCTCCCTTTTGTTGACACGACAGTTAGCTATCAATGTCCAAGGAGTGCAACGACGGAATTTCGGGCGAGCTGACCCCCTCTGCTTAAAATTGGCTGCTAGCCTCATGGACTGCAACATCCTTCGTCAGTTGGATCTCGGTGCTGCTTGGGACCTTTAGTGCTGCAAAAGGATGTTTCTCATTGATCGGCTTGTTCCAAGGGTCCCAAAACAATCTTTTTCCAAGGAGCTTTCATGGACAAATCAGGAAACCAAATCGCTCGTGCTAAGAAGACAAAAGTTGGGGCCGGTTCAAGTTCACTCAGACGGCTCAAGATTGCGCTCCTTACAGAGGTTATGAATTTATGTACCGTGAGAAAGCGTGAGAAGCGAGAATTATATGAGCAGCATCTGGCCGAGCAATCTGCCATTAATCCGAAAACACTTTTTGCATACCTAAAAAGGAGCACCAACGTTGCCAACGGTATACCTGCACTGTATTCAAGCAAAGATGACACCGTGCTCCATGATAACATGGAGCAATATTCCGCAATATTGCTCTGTGTGTATGACGGAGGCGTCGTTAGTTGTTTAGGATTCTCCCAGTCACCCTTCTCCTTTAGAGCATGTCGAAATTACCACCGACAGTACTACAACTGCTTCTCGACTTGAAATCGAATTCTTCACCAGGTCCCGATGGCTTATATCC